CGTTCCAAAATCTGCCATAGACCTTTTCTGCTCACAGTATCGAAAGCCTTGGTGAGGTCAACAAAGGTTACATAAGACCTTTGTTCTGTTCCCTACACTTCTCTTGCAGTTGTCTGAGAACAAATATCATGTCTGTGGTACTCCTGTTGCCTCTGAAACCACACTGACTTTCAGGTAGAATTCCTTCTGCTGTAGCGAGTATTAGTCTGTTCAAGAGTATTCTTGCCAGGATTTTGCCAGCAATGGAGAGCAGAGTAATACCACGGTAATTTGAGCAGTCTGATTCAGTACCTTTCTTCTTATACAAAGTGATGATGACTGCGTCATGAAGGTCTGATGGTAGTTCGCCTAGTTCCCAACAGCGCACCACAAAGTCATGAAATTTAGCATGGAGTGCAAGTCCCCCATGTTTCCAGATTTAGGGTGGAATTCCATCAACCCCAGCTGCCTTGCCGATTTTCACCTGCTGTATGCCCTTGAGGGTTTCTCCTAAAGTGGAGGCAGTATCCAATTCGTATTTCACCGGTTGTTGTGTGATGGACTGAATTGCTGAGTCTTGGACTACACGGTTGGTACTGAAAAGAGTATGAAAATGTTCAGACCATTGATTCAGAATGGGGCCTTTATCTGTTACAGTGCTGAGTAGAGGGCTTTGGACTTGTTATGTAGGCCCGTATGCTGTTTTCAGGGCCTCATAGAATCCTTTGTGATCCTCTGTATCTGCACATAATTGAGTTTTTTCAGCTAGATCAATCTACCACTTGTTCTGGATGTCATGGAGTTTCTGTTGGAGCTTGCTGCATGCAAGATGAAAGGCTATTTTTCTTGCGTGACAGGATGGCAGTGCAAGATGTGCTTGGTGGGTGGTTCTCTTCTTCCTCAACAATTCCTAGATCTCTTGATTGTTTTAATCAAACCAGTCCTTGTTCTTCTTGAGGGAGAACCCTGAGGATTCTTCAGAGGATTGCAGGATGCTGTTTTTAATACGGTGCCAAATTGTTTCAGGAGAGGAATCTGTAGAGTCTGTGGAATGGTTTTCGAGCCTAGTTTGAAGGTTTGCCTGGAATCTTTCTCTTACTGTGGCTGATTGGAGATTGCTAACTTGGAGTCTTCTCCTTGGGATACTGCCCCTTTTGGGTTTGAATTTGAGGTTGAAGTTGAGTTTACAGCGCACAAGCCGATGGTCTGTTTGGCATTCTGCGCTGGGCATCACACGGGTATGGAGGACATCGCGGACATCTCTCCGTTGCACCAAGACATAATCAATGAGGTGCTAATGCTTAGACCTGGGGTGCATCCAGGTTGTCTTCAGACTATTTTTCTGCTGAAAGATAGTATTAGTGATGATAAACTGTTGCTCCGCACAGAATTCTAGCAGAAGTCGACCATTATCGTTGCAGTTTCCAACACCATGCTTGCCTAATATTCCTTTCCATGCTTCAAAATTCTTACCTACTCTGGCGTTGAAATCACCCAGGATAATGATCTTATCATCTGCGGGCACCTTTTGGGTAAGGTGGCGCAGCTCAGTGTAAAATTTATCTTTTTCAGCAGGGTCAGCTTGGAGAGTTGGGGCATATATACTAAAGACGAGAACATGTTGCTTGTTGTTTAGTGGAAGGCGTAGGCGGTCAGAATGACCTGTCGGCAGATTTTCGAGTTTAGGAACAATAGAGTTTTTGATCATGAAGCCGACTCCTGAGAGATGTTTTCAGTTCTGGGCTTACCTGACCAAAAGAGTATGTAACCGGCACCATGTTCTCTGAGGCTGCCTTCCTCATGAAGGCGAACTTCATTGACAGCGGCAATGTCGATGTTGAGACGAGCCAGTTCATGGGCAATTAGGGCAGAACGACGCTCAGGACGTCCGCTATTGGCAGAATCGAGCATGGTTCTGATATTCCAACATGCTAGAGTTAATTTAGGTACACCTTTGGAGGCAGGTGCATGCCTTTGTCTTTTGCTCTTTGTGCTACCACATTGGAAGAAGATGCTTGTTGGCCTGTGGTTAACCAACCGGGTGAAGGTAGAAATGAGCTTTGTTTAGGCCACCTTTTCTAGGCCCCTCTCCGAGTGGAGCAAGCAGTGCTGTCCTTGAAAAGGCTGCTTGGTCGTTCAGGGTGCTGCCCCAAGAGACTGTCATCTCCGGTCAGTCTCAAATGACCAATATCCTTAACCGCCTGCATGCAGGGTTGGGTCTGCGGCTCCCAGTGCACCTTTCACCTGCCGTTTCAACCCTCGCCCATCGCTACAGGACTTTTTGCATTTGGGTAAAGCCTTCAAGCCTGCGCAATGGATTTTTTTAGGTGGGGTGCAGTATGCGCAGAACTGAAACCACCCTTTAATCCTAAGGTTCATCTCCCGGGGCCGAGCAAGCTTGGACGGTGGCAGTGAGGTCCTCAGGATGTAGGTTTAATTAGAGTGACCTTCTCTTAGATGGATGGCCTTACAGGGCTAAGCGAGCTCTATCTGCCCAGGTTTGGGAATTAGAGTTGACCTTCTCCTAGGATGGTTGCCAGAGGGCTAGTGGGCACATCCTGCCCATGGACATATTATATTTGACCATTCGGTTTTGACCTGTCTGGCATGGGAGACCCTGCCGATGGCATGTGCCGTCGCCAGCATAGCTCGCAGCCTCATAGGGATACACAGGCTTCCTCCTCACTGAGACCCCACGGCCCGTCAGACCCCCTCCCCCCCC